TTTATTGGCGTCTTGGCGTTATTAAACTTGAATATTTTAGATATATAGAGTCGAATCTGATTTTAAGAGAAATACACATATAGCAATATTTTTATAAAAAATTATTTACCGCAAATAAAGATTTTATAAATATTAAGACATTCGAGATATTTATACCAATTGGTAAGTTAATCAATTGTAAAGTAAAAAAACCAAAAAAAAAAAAAAAAAATTATTGATACTCAAAATGCAAAAGCATTTTTTATTGTTTATAATACAGTTCAAAACCCTTAAAGTACAGCTTCACACAAAATCAACGAATGCAAATATCAAGTAATCGAAAAGTAAGTATAGAAAATAGCAGTTGGTTCATGAACAATTTCTTGGCAGAGCTCAAAAATTTGGTAAAGAAACAAGTGCTAACTATGCTCGCTCGCTCGGGCCAGCAAAGTGTGAGAATGTCCAAAAACTATGGGGAAACTTGTTAAAACTAAATAAATAAAGAAGCCGARCCACAAATACACTAACAGCGGCTGTAAATCATAGGGCAAAACATTTTGCCACCTTTAAACTAAAAACTGAGCGAACTGGGAGCCGTCGTGCTTAAAGTGGGAGTGGGAGAGGCGGAGCGTACTCTGGCTGCTGGGTTGAGTCATTGCAAAGGAAATCACGCAATAAACTAGGGGCGAAAACAAAACTTTAACTACTTTTTCCGTTAGCCGCGAAACTCAACTGGAAAAACTTTTCGAAACAATACAATTTATATTTATGCGATGTCGACGAGGACGAAAAGGACGACGAGGACGACGAGGACGACGAGGACGACGAGGACGACGATGGCGACGATGAGGACGAGTCGACGGTGACCCAGAAAAACGAAATGGCAAAGAAAATGCTGGACAGCATTCAGCACTCGCCCGTGCCAATGCAGAAGAGTTTATTTAAGTGTTGAAAACCACTTGACCCACTTTCTTGTGGTGTTGATAGCGGCCAGAGAAACTTCTTCATGTCAATTTAAAAGGCTCGTTGAGCAAAACTTCTACATGCAGGCCGACCAAAGAGCGAGAGACCACAATAAATTAACTGCATTAAAGCAGAATCGACATTCCGTTTCCAGAGAGCCCGAGACAAGCAGTCGAAGCTAAGGCTGTTAGCATTTTTCCATAATTTCAATTCAGCTAATGGCAGACAAAATGCTGGCCCCAGGGCTACATTAGCAGCTGCCCAAGAAGCACACTTGATTGGATCGCAGCTGGAGCGAGGAGCATCCCAAAGGATGTTCAACTATGCCAGCTCCTAATTAGTTTTGAGAAGAAATCTTATTGGACTCCGATTGGGCTGGCAGCATGTCATAAGCGAAACTTTCCAATCAATACAATTTACTCACATGAGCTGCAGGCTGAAGCAGAGGCTGAGGCTGAGGATGAGGCTGATGAACAATGAGTCGAGGTGAGGTAATTGGAAAAGCCCTGAGCTCAAGTTACCCTAAAGAAAATGCTGTGTTGAAATGAAAGATAGAAAATGTGAACTATGTAACTATCTGAATAATATATGTATATATTTTATTACAAATAAATTACAATAAATATAATAATAGATTCAGAATAAGTTAAACATCTCTTAGACAAGTTTCCTCATTCAATTTATCAAGCAAATCTTCACTTGTTCTACGCCTATTGTTCATCCAGCTCTAACCCCTTTAACAAAACAGGGTATTAGCACAAAGTTGATAGCAACAAATGACTGGCGGATATTGTGGATAGACCCCACAGAGAGACACACAGACAGACAGAGCGCATAATGACCCAAAATCCTATCAATCCAAATGAAAATTCCCCAGTCGTGCGGATAATTGGAATTAATACAAAAAGCAGCTGAGATATTTTGCTATCGAGCTGTGCTGTGCTGTGTGAGGGGGGGAGTGGGTCGAGGCTAATGATAGGGTTAGCTACAGAGACAGGCGTAGTTGTAGCTGTCATATGTAATATGATAGCTGGAGATATGGACCACCACATCCGCACATCCGCTGCCTGTTATTGAATTGTCTTGGACAACAACTGGCACAGAGTCCAGATTGAGTTGACACTGCGCCTGATATTCGATTCAATTAGCCAGCAAACAAATTAAAAACCAAAATGTGTTGAGCTAGAGCAATACATTTGCCTATGTTTAGGCAGTTGACAGAGGGAGAGAGAGAGATAGAGAGAGTAGTTAAAAGAGGGAAAAGAACATGAGGTAGATAAGTGACAAATTAATGTAAAAGTTATTGACAGACAGCAAATCTACAAATATTTCAATATCAATTTATTAATACATTTGCTTATTGTTTAGTATAAGACAGATTGCAAATAAAAATAGAAATAAAAAAAAAAAGTAAATAAACTTTATATTTTATAGTTTCCATTTGTTTGGAATGTTTTCTTTAAAATATGTGAGCGAAATGAACAATGCAGGCTGTAAGTACTGAAGAAAATGCCACACTTTATTATTAAAATTATTATTTTAAAAAATTATTAAAATTTAAA